GTTCACCTAAAGTGGTGCTAGATCCTGTATTATACTCAATTATGACGTCATAACTTAACAGATTCACGTCATATATTTAGTGCTTGACAGGCAAATGATAGCTTACATATGACAGAGAAGGTATGCAAAGTTTTATGAAGTTTGCTTCACTAGTTTTTGAATAACAAGCAAAAAACGTTTGCGGAAAGGCCGCTGGCCTCTCGCTGGAGCGTTTCCGACCAGTGTGCGCCGGTCCGTATTTGTCGGCGCCTAACAGTGCAGCGGTGCGTTTATGGCGGAGGGAGGGGAAGCGGTGTAGTGTCGGCAAGGCCGCACACAGGAGAGGGCACACGGGCCTCCCCCCCATTCGAGTTGGGGCCCCTAATCTTAAGACCGCCGAAGACCATGTAAAATGAACTGAAATAATGATTGAAAAGACCGGGAGGGCCCATCTCGTTCCCCAGCAGGCCCATACGAGTCCATAAATGCCCAGTAGCGCAGCCAGGCAGGCGCGGATACAAGGGGGGGGGGCCATGGGGGCCATGGCCCCCCCCCCTTGGCCGATTTTTTCAAAAATAAAATAAAAAGTTAAAAAGTTAAAAAGCTGAAAAGGGGGCCTCCTGAAAATAAAGTGGCCGAAATCCGATGAGTTTTTTTAACCTACCCACTTAGTTATTTCTTAGAAGACTAGCTGAGAAGACTTCTTTGTTAGAAGATTGGTAAAGCTTTTCATAACTTGGAGGTCTCTTATACTCACAGAGATGACCACTTTTACAGGGCCTCCTAACCTGCACAGAGGGCCTCCAAGCCTGCACAGATGTTGAGATGTTGCCTGAACAGCTAGATAAGCTCAATAGACGCAGTTTTTTTTTGGGGGGGGGGCCAACAAGTGGGAAGATGGGGCCTCCAACAGGTGGGATTATGGGGGGGGCCTCCTGGTTTCTAATGGCCCCTCCCTTGGAGATTTTCTGGATCCGCCCCTGCAGCCAGGGGTATTGTGGTGAAATTTCAATGGCCCTCAAAAGACCTCAAAGGGCCCACAGATGGGGTCACCGGGTCCTCAGATGGTCTCGAAGGGCCCTCGGTTAGCGTCAAATAACCCTCATCTGGTGTCAAAGGGCCCTCAGATGGCCAAATGAAGGGCCACAAGATGGCCCTTTGAGGGCCTCAAAGGGCCCTCAGATGGGTTCAAAGGGCTCTCAGCCAACGTTAAACCTACCTCAGAAGACCTTGGCTTAAAGGGCGTCAAAGGGCCCTAAACCTGCGCCAGAGGGCCCTGAGCTCGCGTCAAACGACCCTCCGAAGGCCTTAAAGAGTCCTTAGCTTGTGTCAGAGGGCCCCCAGCTGGTGTCAGTGAGCCCTCCTCAGCTGGCGCCAAAAGTCCATCTGAAGGCCTCAAACGGTCGTCAGCTGGAGTACAACGGTCCTCAGATGCCGTCACGCGGCCCTCAAAAGCCTCAAGGAGCCCTTATAAGGTCTCAAAGGGCCCTCATTTGGCCTCAAAAGGCCCTCCGCTAGCGTTAACCGGACTTCAGAAGGCCTTAAAGGGCCCTTATCTGGTGTCAGAGGGCCCCCGGCTAGTGTCAGAGGGCCCTCAGTTGGCGCAAAATGGCCATCAGAAGGCCTCAAACGGTCCGTAACTCGAGTCCAACCTCAACGGTCCTCAGGTGGCGTCAAGCGGCCCTTAAAAATCCTCAAAGGTCATATGCCGCCAGCATATGACCCCAAAGGGTCCTCTGCTGGCGTCAAACGGACCTCAGAAGGTCTCAAAGGGCGTCAAAGGGTCCTGAGCTCGTGTCAAATATAAAAGCGCCCTTAGCTGGTGTCAGGAGGCCTCCAGTTGGTGTCAGCGTGCCCTCAGCTGGTGTCAGAGAGCCCTCAGTTGGCATCTACTGGCCATCAGAAGGCCCCAAACGGTCCTCAGATGGCGTCCAACGGTCCTCAGCTGACGTTAAGAGGCCCTCAAAAAGGCCTCAAAGACCCCTCGGCTGCTGAAGAGGCCCTTAGCCTCAAAGGAAACTCAAGAGACGTTAAACGGCCCTAAAAAGGCTTGAAAGGGCCCTCTGCTGGTGGCAAAGGGCTCGCATATGACGTCAATAACAGCTTTGTCAAAAACGGACCTGAGGGACCTTGCCGGTCCCTGGTTATAAGGGACTCCTGTCTCTTGCAGTAACCTGAGTGGCCCACGTTTACTGAGGGGCCCCTGGTTATTGAAGGAGTCCCTGGTAACTGGAAGGGCCCCTGGTTATCAGAGGGTTCCCTGGTCACCTGGTGGGTCCCTGATCAATTGAAACCTCCCGATCATCTGAGCGCCCCCTGATTGCCTTGGTCTTGGCGTTGGCGTACAGTTTAAAGTCGTCGGCACACTGCGGCCTCCTCTTTCTCAAGTCCCTCTATTTCTTCTGCAGCGAGGGCGATTTCGTCAAAATACTCCTCCATCGCGAAGCCTCGTGCGCAGACGCAGTCTTCGGGGCGCTCGCTGCGCCAGCTCTTGACGCCAACTGACGGGCTCCAAATGGAACAGATGGACTCCGAAACGAACGTGGGAATGCCGACACATCATCCCTCCAAATTTACAGAGGAGGAGATGTCCCTGACAGCCCATTTGCAATAGGGGTCACTTTTACACTATAGACGTATGGGGAATTCGACCTTATCGACATGGTACTACGAGGTCAGCTGATCTGCTTGGCATTTAAATCGTAGTAAAACTGGCATTTAAACGCTGCGAAACAACTTACGTACAACGTAGCTCCGATGGGCCGCTCTTTCTTTTTCATCCCTCCGATTTTCTTCCGATCAAGAGAAGTTTCGTACCGAGAGAAGTTTCGCAGCCACGTCCGATATAACTTACGATAGGACGGATCCCCCCAGCCTTAAAAGCTTAAGACGACGAAGATATAGCCTGAAGTACACTAAATTTTCTAGGTGCAAAACCTTCCGCTAAAACCCACGAGACCGTACCTACATCTTGTATATTATGTTCACCGTTGCGATTATTTCCTATTATCGAGCTTGGGGCTTTGCTTTGACAAGTTTTGTTATTATTACCTGGTGTTTGGAGGAACATTGAATAATGGAATCTGAACAATGCACATTATGCATTGTTTACCATCTCTCCTTTATGCCTACATTACATTAGGCGGATAATAAATAGACTTGCCCATGGAACCCCTGACCAAAAGGCCCGTCCCCGGTCCCGCGCCGGCCCCATCCGCCGCTGAGTCCGACTCCGCACTGTGCACGGATGACGCAAGGAACCCCAATCTGTCACAGCCGTCCGGTCGTGATCGGTTGTCGGGCCGTCACCGAATGGCATTTACGGTAGCCGTGGGTGTCGCCCGTCGAACGGACCTGGCTGGGCACTGTGCACGGCTCGCCCGCCCGTCGGTCCTCACCGTCAGCCACCGCACGACCGGCGCGGCGTACCAACGTGCTTATTTGTCAGTGATAGAGGTGCTATGTCCTTCCTTGATTCGCAGTCGTTTTGCCGCCTATGTGTAGCTGTAGCGCTGCTTTCAAACAAAAGATCGTTCGTTCACATTCGTTTAGAATTTAGATGCACTCTTTTGCCCCGTCAACTCAGCCAGTGATATATGCTACTCTACTCGTACTGCTGCTTACGAGTGTTTTCGGCGGCCGACAGCAGCATGAATAGAGACGAAGCCAAGGGGTGGGTCACGGGGGAGTATGGTCCCCTTCCTGAGGGTGGCTCTCCATACAAAAAGTCGTTTGATTTTAGAATGCAAGTCTCAACATTACCCTATATCATATATGTCTTCGCTTGTATTACCAAATAACCGTTTGCATTTCCTGAACTTGCATTCTTGGTATGTGTATTTCTGCATCTAAATTTTACTCTGAAGTAAATTGAAAACAGCTGCATGACTAAATATAGCGTGTGGCTCCTCAGAATGAAATAGCCCCCCTTTGGGCAAATCCTTGGCTATGTGCGAGTGCCTGAGCACTGATCGCAGTACATATGCGATATGCGGCGACAGTGCGATATCACTGGTAACTCCATTTTGTCAATACTCCCTTCGCCAAGACGATTCTGCAATAGACGCAGCATTTTAGGGGCTGCGGGCAGCAGAGCAGCAGGACGTATTTACCTGCCGAACATCAGCTTTCGCAGATAATGCTAGAGTCTCTTTCCTCTCTTGTAACTCATTTTCGAGTGTCAGAGAGTCACTTCTTCCACTAACTTTTGAACAACTTAATTCATTCATGGTTGGGGTTAAAAGAGCTGCGATTTCTTACGCATTGAATTTTAATAAAGTGATTGGATTTTTTATGTAGTCATCTCAGTGAAAACCAAATACGTCACAAAGCGTGCCAAGAGTCATGCAGCCCACGTCTTCTCAAAGGAATGTCGTCTGACCAGATCATCCGTGTGAGCTGCGAGCTGCGGGAAGCTCCAGCTTCATGAGCTCCTCTTCTCGCAAGTGGGGACTCTCCGGAGAATCGCCGGCGCACCCGCACCAAGGCCCAGGAAATTCACCACCCAGTTCCGGGACACGCCGGCCGCATGGAGCGTTCCGCGAACTGCAGTTCGCACAGGTGGGTACTGGCGAACGCTAATAGCTTCCGATGACCACCGAAGCGGTAGGTGAGAAGGATGGCAAAGCAGAGACACGGCGGCGGTAAATGCTTCCGGTGACCGGGGCTTGCGCGACTGGTTCCACTCAGACCTGTTGATGACGACCCGGACAGACCGGCGGCGTTTGCACTGCCGCGGCGCAGTATGACGCGGCGTGCTGACTCGACCGTGACCGCTGCCGGCGCCGCGCCGCCACGGTCAGGGTCAGCAACCGCCGCCCCCGCCGCCGCCCGGTGACGCACCTGAAGTGCGCCTCGCTCGGCGGAGCGCCGGCGGCGGGAATTTCCGGCAGGGCGGACGGCACCGGCGGCGGCTGCCGCAGCCCGTCCGCGCGGCAAACTCAGTGCGCCGGAGCTGCGCCGCGACACCACCGGCACGGGCGGCTGTGGAGAGTGCCTCAGTGTCAGTGTCACGGCCGCGCAGTGTCAGTCCGCCGGTGCAGAGTCTGGGTCGTGTCAGAGCGCCGTGAACATGTCGGTGGCCGTTTCGTCGTCGCGCCCGGAGCGCGAGGTGTTTACGACGCCGTCGGCAGACGGCCGGTCGCCAGGTAACCGTGATTCGACGCTGACCCTGGCCTGGGGCCCCCTGGGGGAGGGGGGAGCTGATAGCGGCGGGGGGGGGGCTGACGGCGCAGTTCAAGGCTACCTCAACTTCCCAGTGAACGGCGTTGGCGTTGAAAATTACATGAGAGATGATAGCGGCTGTTTGGTATGCAGGATTCAACCTGCTGGCCCATTTTGATTTGTGGGTGACAGGGTTGGCATTTTTGCCGGCAAAAACTAGTTTTTGCCATTTGCCGGTTTAAACCGGTTTTAACCGGCATAAAGTGGCAAAAACTGGCAAAAACTAAAACAGTCAAAACGCTATGCCTCTACATGCGTTTGAGCAGGACACGTTTTAAGTAGGATTCAGTCAATACAATATGCATTCAAACAAGTGGTATCTTGACCATTTTAGTGTTAAATAGTTCCGTGAGTCCTCTATAATTAACCAATAAGGCACCTTTTTGGTGAGACAAATGAGAAAGTGCGCCGGCGGGCGGCGAGTATTGAAGAAGTGGGAAAGGGCATCTGCCACTGACTTGTGCACCGGACCCTACGAACCGGTTCCTAACAGTGTCAGTGCCAAATTTGTGCTTAGTCGACGTAGCCGTTCTCCCAATCTGGAAGCGTCACCCCGCACGTGCGCACGTGCAAAATGGACCCCGACCGACTATGCACGACACCCTACTAATCAGTCCCTAACGGTGTCCCAATTTGAGCGCAATCGACCCAGCCATTCTCGAGGTCTGGTCGGAAACGACTCCTGCATATGCTCATGTGCAGAAGCACACCAACAGCGATGCATGAAAGTGCACTTCCTGGTGGACATCTATTGACTACCGACAGACATTTCAAGCAGCGGTAAACTAGCGAGACAATGCTTACTGGGTCCCAATGACAGACATGACTTTGTACATTTCAACCGATTGCTTTTTAGGCAAGCAACGCAGTTTTGGCCACTTGAGTTTTTGCCAGTTTCTGCCAGTTTTTGCCACCATGGTTTCTGCCAGCCGGTTTAAACCGGTTAAAACCACTGGCAAAAACCAGTTTTTGCCACCCTCTGCCAACCCTGGTGGGTGATGATAAGCGGTTGTTTGCTTTTACACCCAGTAGGTCTAGTGACTGCATCACGGTCATCTATGTTCATTGCTTATTGCCCAAGAAGTGTCAACTCGTCCTTCCTTTACTCCAGATAAAAAAGCTTCATTTCCGCGTTTGGTATCGTTATAGTAGGATAGGCACTGGCAGGACAATTAGCAAGGTCTTGGAGGCGTGTGCGCATAGAATAGATCATCATCAGGACTTAAACAAGGTGATATGAAGTGCAACTGTCCTCACTGTCATGGATCCCAGGAAATGGACCTGAAATCTGATCCCATGGACCTCGATCTCAGATCTGATGGATCACAGATCCAGCCCTGCCATTTGTCGAGAGATCCGACGAGACCAGACCAAAACCCTGTCTTTTTCTAGAGAAAGAGATCCAGTGAGATCATGGATCCTTGCTTATTTGTTGACACATTATTCTTAAAGAAACACTCGTTGCATTTTACAGCACCTCTGTTTAAGCGATCTTATGTTTTCACGCATCACAATAGGTATTGTGGCTCTTATTGACATGGATCCACCTGAAAACATGGTTTTACTGGTTAGGTGTGGTGGGATCCACTCGGATCATAGATCCATGTGCTTGGTTTGCTGTCAGATCCTATGAGATAACAGATCTCCTGGATATATTTTCAAAGTGGGATCAAATGGCATCATATATCACCAGTATAACGCCTTTTGGGGCGACTAACGGAGCGAGCGAGAGGGTGGGCCTTGCACGTGCGAAATTGCGAGGGGGTACCTCCAACTGACTTGTGCACGGCACCCTACTAACTGGTCTCTAGCGATGTGCCAAATTTGGGCACAATCGGCCCAGCCGTTCTCGAGATCTGGAAGCGGCACCCTGCACGTGCGCACGTGCAAAATGGGTCCCAACTGACTTGTGCACGGCACCCTACTAACCGGTCCCTAACCGTGTACCAAATTTGAGCGCAATCGGTCCAGCCGTTCCCGAGATCTGGAAACGACCCCTGCACGTGCGCACGTGCAGCAGCACCCCAACTCTGGCACATGTATATGCAGTGCCTAGTGGGTGCCTACCTACATGCCAACTTTCAGCGCAATCGGCCAAGTAGTTACCGAGATATTGCAACAATTACAAAACTGACACCTCTTCGTTTTGCACGTGGCACGTGCATAAGGGGTCACCCACATGCATCGGGAATAGTCCAATACTTGGTAGAAGGAATGAAGCTACCCTACAAAAATTACCGCGTGTAAATCGGTCAAGTGGTTGCTGAGATATAAGCCTCGCAAAAGTGTGACCACGGCCGGCCGGCCGGCCGGCCGCTCATACTCAGAAATTTCCGTTAATCTAAGGAAAGACTACGCTCGCTTCGCTCGCTCCGTAATAACTTTTCACTCGGCTTCGAGATCCTCTGAGATCATAGAAGCATCACTCGGATCCATGCACATGCCTGACGTAATGCAAAGTCGACGGTCTTTTTTACAAGATGAGATGATGGTAGGCATGTATATAGTTATCGCTGTTTTTCAGTCCTATTTACAGCCACGTTTTGCTTTTCATGCCTACTTGTAAAAATTACATTGTAGCCCAGTAAACGTTTCGATATACGTGTAATTGCATCTCCCCTGTTCATTGCTGATACAGGATCTGTGCTAAATAAAAACCTGTCTGATAATTAACATACACAGGTCGGTGCTATGATCGTTAAGAATTTTGTAGAATTGGCTTTTTAGCTGAAGTGTCCCAGGTCTTACGCACTTTGCTGAAGAATTGTGGGTGGACTCGTTTAGATGGGCTTCTATGCGTTCTTTCCTTTTTACTGATGACAAAATGAATGCCTACTTAAAGTGACCAGCCCACCTTAACATTAGTTCTGAGTTGAAAAAGCTAAAATGGGGTCCCTGGCTTGCACTTACCGGTTTGAGCACTCACAAGATCGAGAAATTGCCTCATATCGAAAATATCTCATTTCAAAGTTGCAGCACTTGGATTCAGAGGGGCTAATACATTTGAATGCCCCTCTGAATGTGTGACGTCAGCGCAGATCCAACGATTTTTGAATATTTTACTAAAACGTTTGGTAGCACGCGGTGGTATATGCTAGAGGTGGCAAAAGATGAAAATTTTGAGAACCAGACTCGAACCAGACCCGGCTGGACATTTCTGGCACCAGTCGGACCCGGTCTTAGTTGGAATCGGAACCAGTTGGACCCGTTCCAAAAAGTCAATTAATACAAACTACTTGTAGGTATCATTAGTTGCATCATGTAAAACAGCCTATTTCTCACTGGGAATACTCATGAGCTACTTCGTGCAAAGAAACATTCACTTCATTCACTTCATTCACTTCATATTTTGCTATGTGTAGTGTGCAAGATGTATAGTTTATGGTAGGACCCGGTTGGACCCGTCAGAAAATTTCCAGGAACCGGTCTGGACCCATATGGGTCCAGACTGGTTCTTTGGACCGGGTCCCCGGGTCCACATTTTGCCACCTCTAGTATATGCTGCTTTGCGTGCAACAAGTGCCGCACTTTAAATTAAAGTCGCTAGGAACAGCGGAGATCCCAATAAGGAAATAAAAGTAAACGTCTAATATCTTGAAAACCGGTGAATATTTTCGATGAAATTTGGTAGATATTCGTTTTCGCTCTTTCTGAACCGCGCGACATCACTTTCATGCCAATTCATTAACTTTTTTGAAGGTGGGAGGGTCCTTAAGTAAAAATCGTTCGATCCCACAAGCGGTATTACTCTCTCGTGAAAACGTAATAAGCGCGCCATTCCGATTCGAAATTCGGCATACGAGCGACATCGCTCGCCGCCCTGGGCTGACGAGTGATGATTGCTGCGCAGTGCGCGGCATCACATCCGCTCCTCCTGGGTCACCTGTCCAGAACGTTCTCCGGCTGACACATACCGCGGGTCTGGAGCCGGTTCTGCGAACAGCCCGCGCTCCGCTCCACGTCATCGCTAGGTCGCACCGGGCGTAATGAGCCCCGCGGCGGCGGCGGCGGCGGCCGCGGCGTCGGTGCGGAGGTTAGCGAAACGCCGGTGACGGGGGTGGTGTTGGAGGAGGTGGCGGCACGGGCGGCAGCGGCGCTGCTGATGGTTTCGCTGTCATCAGCGTTGGTTATAGAGCTTCTAAATCTAGATAAGGCGGCTGCTGTAGCGGAGACGACGGCGGCAGCAGTGATGACTGTGTGCCTCCCGGAACCAGTTCTGGTGCCCCGCGGCGCCGCCTCTGCGAGGAGGTTCCGCTCCGCCTCTTGCGCTCCGCCCTCGCAGACGCTAATTTTCAATGTGACGCTGCACGTGAATTAGTTCGGAGAATCCAGCTGCGCACTATCCTGTAAGGAAACCAGTTGCAGGCCGAACGACCCACATATATCAGAGGCGCATTCAGTAGCGCATCCGTTAAAAAGATACATGCATAGAAAAATGTTTTATGACAACAGCTTAGTTGCTACCAGGGCTACGGAGTCCATGTATTTTCGGTGACTCTGACTCCGATTCCAGTAGAATTTTCGGCTTCGACCGACTCCGACTCCGACTCCTCAGCCCTGGCAAGTGGCAAGTCTGCGGATTCGATGGATTTTCGGTGACTCCGACTCTGGCTTCGGCGTTCAAAATCGACTCCGACTCCGACTCCGGCCAGAACTGTCGACTCCCACCGACTCCTTCTCCGCAGCCCTGGTTTTTATGGTAGATGTACTCGAGAAACTTATGTAGCATAGGCTACTTGTTAGATTTCATGTCTTATAATCTGTTTCTTTTTACATTTCGTTCTGTTCGGCACATCGCGCACTTCGTGAATTTGTTTAAATGCCTGCACATTACACGGACATACTCGTATGAGCTGCGCCAAAGAGTTCCTCAGTACCTTAAATGTAAACGAATGGTCCGTTCTCATTTGCATACATACATGCT